TACGCCTAGGGCGAGGTGGTGGGCCCACACCCTCCCCATTTGCAGTTCTACAAGCCTAATTTAGCCTCCACCGCCACCGCTGCCGCCATTGGCGTCCCTGCCTCACCTCCTTTTGCGGATACTTTTCCTCTACTGCCTCCGCCACTCCCTAGCTTCTCCAACTCCCCTTTACAGCGCGCTGCCAGCATGCCCAAAATCAAACCCAACCCCGAGCCTTGACCTAAGTCCAAGCCCAATACCATCATTGAGGGGGACGAGGATGATGATGATGAGGTGATTGAGAATAGCGAAAGCTTGAGGTGTAGGACTGTTATGACCCAAATTATTACTGAGGTTTATGCTTTTTTACTGTGGGCACTTAGAACCGAAAATCGAAAACCGAAACTGAATCACGGACCAAATCGAACTGCACCGAACGGTTTGGTTTTGAAATGGTTTCGATTTTGAAAACGAACCATAACATAGAAAATGGTTTGGTTTCGGTTTTGGCTTTTGAAAACCACACTGAAACTGAACCGTACCGTAAATATTAATAAACATGTAATTAAATGTCCATATTAGATTTCATGTTTTAATTGGTTGTTTATTAGAATCCATACACTTAGTATGGACTCAACCACACTAGAATATCATCATTCATCACTTTCTTTCGTTCATTAACTTGAAGGACCTTTGTTATTTTATACCATCACACACCACACACACACATATATGTACAAGGGTGGACTAATCTTGTTATCAAGAGTCGAACAATGATCTAATGAAGTCCACTCATTTGAAGCATGATATCACATATTCTAGTATGAAACTTTCGCTCACGTTTAATGAATTCAAAGTTGTTCAACTTGTTTTATGTTATACCTTCTACGGGACACCCTTTTGTTGCACAAACATGTTTTAACATCACAACTGCATGCAACATGCTAATTTTTTACATAACAAATGTCTTTTTCCTATTGCTACTGGGAAATGCTTATTAATATGTTAAATTGCAAATTGTACATTTTTTCTTAAAAATCAAACTGAAACCCATTTGAAACCGCACCGAACCGAACCGCAAAAAAATTCGGTTTTGGTTAAAGAAGTGTCTTTTGAAGAAGAAGCTAATGTGTCTCACATTGAGATTAAGATTACTGAATACCATGGCTTAGATGAAAAATGTGATTTTAGTGGAAAATCTAATAATGATAGTGTTGAATCAGGTGACTGTGCTAGTCAGATTAGGGATGAGGGGTATCTTTTCTTTAAAAACTTGTGTAAGATGTCCATGAAATACTCATCAGATGAGCACTATGATGATCAAATTCTCTTGAGGGGTATAGTGTTGTCCTTGAGCTTTTGCAGGTGGTCATGGACGATAAAGGTCCAATTTGGTGCAAAAATGACATGTTTCTAAATGCTATCAAGGAATTCTTCTGCTTATCACTGTTAAAAATCAGTGCGTTTTCAGTGATGGCTATTTTCTAGCCATTATCAAGCAGTTCAAATAAAAATATCTTATTCGACCAATGTCCAAAAATAGAAAACGTGCGAGCACATGTTGTTCAAAGTCTCAATGGAGATTTGCCAGCTTCAACGGTTGGAAAGTTAGAAGTCGCAGTTCACAACTCGGTGTCTAGCTTGTCTTCACCAATTAGCAGAGATTTGAAGAGGCTCCAGGGTGGCGCAGTGGTACGATCTGTTCTGCAACTTCTATCAAGTGGATATTAGAGGGGTACATCTCGGGCAATCAATGGTTGTTTCTAACTGGAAGTGAAAGCCATTGTAGTCAGTTTTTCCCAGATTATTTTGAATGACAATTGGAGAAAGGTCACCTGGGAAAACGGCAGCATAGAACTAATTTTTATGGAAGGCTGTTTTCGAGAGAACAGTTGTGGTGAATTAGATAAGGTCCGGCAACCCTTAGCAGAAAATCAAAAGCAAAAGCAAGGTCCTGATCTTATTATGTACAGTTGTGGTAAGAAAAGTTGGGACATTTGGTTTGAAGATAATTGTTTCATGGTCAAGGAGATGGTATATTTGGCAAAGATAAAACAATATTTCCTAGACGATGCCAATTTATCTGATGCCTTGCCACTTAATCCAAGGAAGTCATTGATTGCACAAACCTCTTACTTTAAGGAAGTCATTTCCATGGTTGCCAACAATATAATAAGTTCCCTAAATCTAGAGATTGAGGTCAAGCTTCTTTGCTGGGGATAAGATACACCTGCTTCAATCTGATTTTTCTTATTGCATGGAATGCATTTCAAGGAGCGTGGGAAGTCTGGGACGAAAGAGGCACTACAATTTATGGCTGAAACTGAGCAGCAGTGTGGTACCGTGAATGCAGTGAGGCAGCACTTGTGGTTGTTTGAAGAATTTCCTCTAAAAGTTGTGCATGCTTATGTGGATTCCTTCAATTTCAGAGGTAGTGGTCATGCTGTGCTGATTGTTCAGGGACATCATTTTGCTTCCTACTTGGAAAAGGGAAGGACAGTGCTCAACCTACGATATTCAAGTAACAAATGTGTCGATTGGAGCTTATGATAAAACAGGGACCATAAATACAAACCAGACGGCAGTGGCAAAACTTTTAGCTTTGCATCCTAGGCCTATTGTACTACTGAAGTTTAGGGTGGATGGAATTATATACAATCCATTTGATGGTGAAATTCTTAACCGCCCATCTCCTTTTACTTACGCATTTCCAATTAAATCATGATCCCATCTTGATCAATTTCGTATTGATTAGGGCGAGCGCTCTAGTCCCCAGACGACTTTCTTCAACCGCCTTACATTACTCACTTCGTTCGCAACTTCCCTTTCCCTGTGCCCAGGGCGAGTTGAGTTTGAGTCTTCATCGATTGGGTGGCAGAGAAACAAGCCATTGGCTGCAAGTGGATTTACAAGCCAAAAAACATTTTTTTTTTTCTTCAAAAAGTCTCAATGGGTCGTTGTACCTTTTGATTATGGTAGTTCTCGAACAAGAGTTCTCCTTACTCATATTGCAAAGAAACGGTCTATGGACCTTCGTCTTCTCCATGGCGTTGTTGGATTTCTTCATTCGCGTACTTTCACTAGCTATAGAGTTATGCTCCTAGCATTACATAGACTTATGATTTGAGCCCACCTACAGAAGATCGATTGGCGGGAACCAAAGACGTTACCCAAAGGGCTAAAAATGGCTGATTCTTTCCCCAAAAAGTCACCAAAATTTCATAATTAGGATTCTCGCATGTCCAGGGTCCGATTAGATCAACCAACGACCAGTTTACGAACTTAATAAAGCTATGACCGTCACGGTCAACTTTCTTGTTCTTTAGGAACTCCCTCCTTTAGCGCGATTAAGATCATAATTTGTTGAACCGGCGGTTGCCAAAATCCCATTTAATTCAGGTTTTATATTCTGAAATTCCTTATCCCCACTGAGGAAGTAGCTAAAACAAAAAAGAAACTATCTAATTAGGGGGGCACCCCAAAGAATAATTGGAGAGGATCTTAAATGACTTTTGGGGGCTTTTTCGGCTTCTCTCATTTCCTCTTCTTCCATAGCTTTCTTGTGCTACTGTTGATTAAGGGAATTGAGAATTGGATCGTATCAAAGACTAGCAGGGGCAGCCGGGGCAAAAGAGGGGTTGTGGAGAACGATCACAATTTGGATGCTCCATCGCCAGTGTCATCTCCGGCACCGCTTGTTTCGATGGAGAGCTGGACGGTGCCGCCGCTGCCATAACATGGAAACAGGCTTATGACTTCTATTTCTCAGTGGAGAACATGTCGGCGTTGACGTTGGCCGATGCTGAAGAGATTGAGCGAAAGGTGTATGACGAAAGGCCGCCAACGAGAGTAGAAAGTATTGAAGAGGAGAAGGCGTTCGAAGAAAGTCCGAAGAGAGTGGAGAACGATGAAGAGGAGGATGTGGAAAGGAGTCCGAAAGTCGAGGAGGTTGTGGCGGTGCCTCCGCCTCCGGTGGTGAATCATAATATTTATGGAACTTGATGACCATTTTCTCAAGGCTTCGGAGAGTGCCCATGACGTTTCCAAGATGTTGGAGGCCACCCGGCTTCACTATCACTCCAATTTTGCTGATAATCGAGGTAATCTTATGATTCTGTTGTTGGGTTTGTTATGTTATGTTCGAGTACTTTTATGATGTTTTCAGATTGAAAAAGTGTAATTTTGATGTTTGCTAGCAATTACTGTGATTACAATTGCAGGGCACATTAATCACTCTCCTAGAGTGATGCGTGTTATCACATGGAATCGGTCTTTTAGAGGATTGCTGAATGTAGATGATAGCAAGGATGATTTCGACTCAGAAGAGCATGAAACTCACGGTACCGTCTTGGATAAAGTGTTGGCATGGGAGAAAAAACTATATGATGAAGTCAAGGTACTAAAAAAACTCCATTGTTTCTGTTTTTATTTTTCTTTCACTGTGATAGGAAATGGTGTAAGGAATTGCTACGTTACGTTTGCATTTACCATTTAATCCTTTTTGGCTTCCACTGATTTCAATATGCTGATTGAATGCTACATTGCTCGACACAACTTTGCGAATCTGTCATTGTTGTCATTTGGTTTGGCTGTATTGTGGTCCTTTGAACTGTAATGCTCTTCACTGATGTCAGTAGTCATTAATCGTGTACTGAATCTTATTTGGGATTAGTTTGTGGATAGACATGTGAGCTTATGAAATATGAGAACCAAAAGAAGGTTACCTTGCTGAACACGTTGAATAAACGAGGTACTAACTCTGAAGCATTAGAGAAAGCAAAAGTAGCTGTAAGTCATCTGCATTTTGTTTTGGTTTATTAACACTCAGGGTTTTATCTTGTTTTGGTTTATTAACACTTAGGGTCATTGCCCTGCCTAGACACATGGTGTCTTGGCAGTGATGGACTTCACCACCGAACTGACCTTTTGGGAGTTTAGATTTTTAGTGCTTGAACAGTTATATTGCTTCGTCTTCAAACATGGAATTTGAAACCACTTAAAAATAACTTACAGACTGTAGGATGGCTATTATGTGGGGAACAATGCGAGCTCACCATGAGACCCAATCGAAGATTGTGACAGCACTCAGGTTGTTGGACATCTCCCAATGTCCCAAGCATACAAGTGAGCACCACCATGAGTGCACAATACAGCTATTTGGTGTTGTGCAAGGATAGCATGGTGAGTTTGTGAAGCTTGTGAGTCAACAAAAGGAGTACATAAAGGCCTTCAACAATTGGTTAAAACTTAATCTCATCCCCATTGAGAGCAACTTGAAGGAGAAGGTTTCTTCCCCTCCAAGAATTCAACGACCCCCTATTCAGGGACTCCTCCTTGCTTGGCATGACCATCTAGAGAAACTTCCAGACGATGTTGCAAGAACTGCGATACATAACTTTGCTGCTGTAATTAATACTATTATGATTCTCCAAAAGGAAGAAATTAAAATGAAGGAGAAATGTGAAGACACTAGGAAAGAACTTTCCCGCAAGGCCAGACAATTCGAGGACTGGTACAATAAAAATATGCACAAGACCATTTCGGACGAAGGAGATACAGATAAGCCAGAAGGCCACACTTGAAGTGATGTGGTTGCGGAAAAGCAGTTTGTAGTGGAGACAGTGAAGAAGAGGTCATAAGAGGACGAGGAATCGTATGAACGGTTATGCCTTCAGGTGAGAGAGAAGTCGATCACAAGTCTTAAAACTCGCTTGCCAAAACTCTTTGGGGCGTTGTCGGATTTTGCCTAATGTTGTTCAGAGATGTACAGAAGCTTGAGGTCCAAATCACCCCATAATCCAAGTGAGAGCTCAGCAAGAGAATAGGTTTGTATCTATAATTTGCGCATTTATTTTTGTTTAAATGATTATTTTTCCTGCTTATATGTTTAATTGTTTCTATTAGTAACTTATAAGCTTGTACAATTTTCTTATGGGACAACGCCTTCAAAATCATATACATAAAGTTGTTTCAATATATATTGAGAATTGAGAAACAATTCCCTCTCGTTGCTTTCCTTTTGTTTTGGTATAGACTCTCTATTATGTACGTGTTGATGCAGTAAAGCATCAACACGTACATAAAATGAGTGTAGCGGAGATGAGAATGCTTCATTGGATGTGTGAGCACAAGAAAGGATAGGATTAGGAGTGAGGATATCCGAGCTAAAGTAGGAGTAGCCGAAATTGAAGGAAAGATGAGAGAAAATCGATTAGATGGTTTGATCATGTAAAACGAAGGCCTACTAACGCTTCGGTTAGAAGATGAGATTACGAGACAAACATTTAGGGCATTACGAGATAGACGTTCAGGGCCGAAGGGTTAGAGGAAGACCTAGGAAGACTTTGGAAGAGACTCTAATAAAAGACTTGGAGAACTTGAATTTAACGGAAGACGTGGCACATAACTGAGCTCAGTGGCATTCTAGGATTCATATAGCCGACCCCACTTAGTGGGAAAAGGCTTTGTTGTGTTGTTGTTGTTGTTGGATAGACTCTTTATTATGCAGGAAAGACTTATCTACACTATTTGGAATGTCACCGTAGAGCTTCGGACAATGATACAATGTCATGTATCTCAACTTGGTGTCCTTGTTCTACATGGCATTGCATCATTGGTTTAAGATGTTGTCACATCCGTGTCCATGTTCCATTCAAGTCGTTCTTGTACTATAATGTCTTCTAATTTGTCCGGTGTCAGTGTACCAGTATTAAATATGATAAGTTTTTTTACCCTCTAGATATCCTTTTTTCAGACTGATGGGAATTCTCTCCCCTCCCCTCCCCTTCTCTGACAATTTTTTTTCCTTTCTCTCTTAAGGGTTCAAACAGAAGGGAAAGAGAAGGGAGGGAAAATACCCTTTAATGTACCTATTTTGAGACATCGTCTAATCATTCCATTTAATATTGACAAGCATATTGTCACATGATCAATTGTCCATGTTTTATAAATGTACTTGTCATTAAAAGTCGAAATGGCAAGTAACTGCTGATGTGACATCATCTCAATAGGCGATACGACTCAAAATTTTCTATTTGGAAGGTAATCCTCAACTAAGTATCTTAACACCTTTTTAAAATAGGAAAACTAATGAAAAGGACTTGAAAACTTTGAGTTTTAATGATAAGGACAAAATAAAGGGTAAAGTGAATAGTACTAGGATTGATTTTCGTTAAAACTCTCTTTTAAAATGAGAACTGCCTTTTTAGGAAAAAAGATGCATAGATGGTTAGAAACCACACACAAGCTGATGGAAAAGAATGAGAACTGCCTTTACAGTTACAAATGAGCTGATCCATCCAACCAAAGTTTTATAATGTCTAGGGCACAACTTACACCCTACGCTTCATACGCTTTCGTTGAACATTGGTCACATACGAATACGATTGTCAAGGCAAACGTTGGTATTCTGCAGAACGTGTACGAATTTTATGTACAAATGTATTTTTCAATCAGTAACATGTTTGATTCCTGTGAGCAATTTGTTGAGACTCCGACTTGCCCTTTGAAGAAAACAATCTCCGAGGGAGCAACAAGAAAAATGGGATTTCTCAAAAAATGTTGTCAAGTTATCCCAAGCAGCAAAATACCTTTCTTCTTCTGTCTCGTGTTACGCTGTTTAGGTTCACTCCGGCAGGCCTTGGGGGGCAAGCTCTTGCTAATCTCTTTGCTGCATAGGTGCAAAGGAAAACAACTTTCTAAGCATTGTCCGAATGCAAGTTAGAATGCAAAAACTGTAACTAGGAGACCGTCAAGTAATTACGATTAATACAACCCTACAAAACTAGGTGATAATCTTGCTATCCTAGGCACTAATATAACCTCGGTTCTAAAAATCCCTGCCTAGCGCCACCTAGGCTCTAGGTGGCTAGCCACCGTCCCGATTAACCCTTAGGCATTTGAAAATTAAGAAAGGGCCCCTAGACCGGCTTAGGTGCCCGCCTAGCCTATCCAGACTAGGCACCCGCCTAGGTTGCGACTTTCAGACAAAAAAGAGATCACTTTCATTTTGCATTATGTTATAGTACTTTATAATCTATCTGTTATTCTACTTTGCAATTTATGTATCACAATGCAATTATGTATTTTTTAAGTATAAGCAAGCACTTATGCGATATATAATAAATTTACTTAAATCCACCTAGACGCTAGGTTCTAGTCCACCGTCTGACTAGCGCTTAACATCTTTTATAACGTTGAATATAACAGAAACATATCTTTCTTCCGGATAATAAATATAAATTTTACCTATTTCATGGAAAAGCTCGTTGATGTTCTGTGCGGTTTTGGCTGATGTTTCCAAGAAAAACATCCCATTCTCTTGAGCAAATTGCTCCCCTTCCTGCAACCCAATTACAAGAAAAATCAAACAGTCACCTATCATCTGTTTACAACTTTCAATCGAACAAACAGCGAAACATTTAATGTGCATTCCTAAGACATTCATGCAGATGGGAAGCGAAAGGGAAAGGGAAATTGTGGTGAAGCTGTTGGAAATACCTCACTCTCGACCTCCCTTTTCGCCTCCAAGTCGCACTTATTTCCAACCAATGCCATCACCAAGTTTAAATTCCCTGAAAAATGTAATAAATAATACATCATCTCTCAATAACAGCCGGAGATCATTCCAAAATAGCACACAATGCTGATAACGAATCATTTTCCAAGTGCAACAAAATATTCATCCGAAAACAGACGTACTACTTTAACATATAACATAGGAAACACAGAGATGTATGCAATACAAGAGCTAGACCAGGTTGTTTCAAATTGTACTAGCCAGCCTAAGAAAAGCAATTAAAATTTTGACAGCAGAGGGCACGCGAAAGAGATGTATTGGGGCCTGCCGCAGATAATACAAACAACACAATTGTAGACCATGAAAGGTGACAAACTGCCCGAAAGATTCAGATGAGAATAGGAGGTATATGCAAACTATCGGAACACTTCTAGTATACGAAGTAATTTACATCACATATCTGATGAAATATTTGCAAAATACGCACAAGTTTTTTTCTTTAACAAAAGTGTATTAGGAAGATTATATAGTTATGATTACCATAAGACAAGATGAGGTAAATCATTTTTAGTAATTCGACTATTCGGTCTTCAAGATTGGAAACAGAGTTTAGGAATGGAAAAACACGATAAGAGCACTAGTGTTCAATCTTCATGTCCTTACCTTGCCTCTGCAATTCTTGAACCCATTTTTTGGCTCGAGTAAATGTATCCTGGGGACAATGCAAAATAGTAATCAGAGAACCATAGATAACTGAAATATATTATAACTCAGTGTTTAACTGAATATTGTGCCAACGTAGATATATTGGATTTAAAGTCACAAACTAAGCTGAAGTATCTGCAGGCAGAGAGAGAGATAGAGAAGAGCTGCACGCATTCAGTGCTCTAAAATGTGCCCTCGCATTGATTATTTATTACTGAGTTACTGAGTACATGGTATAAGTTGATATTATATTTCAAATGCAACTTTTGTTATAAGTGAAAAGTGATTCATAGGTACCGCGCTTGAGATGTCGTACGCGACTACTGCTGCTGCTGCACCACGATAGTACATAGGAGCCAAGCTATGGTATCGTTCTTGTCCTGCGGTGTCCCATATGTCAAACTTCACAGTGGCTTCGCTTAAAGACAGTATCTGAGTGAAAAAAGCTGCTCCAATGGTTGGTTCCTGCATCAAGACATGCACCAAGGTCCTCAATTGTTCAACACATAAATTGGGAAAAGGAAAGGATATCTTGAAAGTACAAGAGGCCAACAAATACCTGGTTATCGAAAAACTGGCCCTTGACAAATCTTAACACCAAACTGGTTTTCCCAGTTCCCATGTCCCCCAGAAGCACCTGAAAAAAAAAAGACCATTTATGAAATTTAGAAATAACCCGTGTCTTTGTGAGACGATTCAACTAATATTGCTTATGCACTACATAATAAACACAACTACAAATAATAACTAACATTTTCCCACTTCGGTCGGTACCAAAAATGTGATTACAATATCCAATCTAATCGACCAAATTACCATAGAAAAATGAAGATGAAAGATCAGATCCTAAAACTAAAAGGCGGTCTAGAGTAACAAAATGGCACACTTAGAAATGCTGTTTTGTTAGAAATCCCGCTACAGCCAACACAGCTAATGTTTAACTAGTAACTGAAGCATTGCAAACATTCGAACATTCGAACAAGGAAGCTTTCTAATTTTTATGGGAGGCCTCCACAGTTTCATTGAATCAGCTAGGAAATCGAAGCCGTAGAATACAGAATACCTTATATCCAATAGCTTCATTTGGATGGTCACAGAAGGTACATCAAACTTATGTGGGGTTGAAAATGTCGAGTATGCAGTTGGGAAAAAGTATATATCTCTACAATTTACATCAAATTTTGTATTCTGGTTAATATATAAAATTTAGATTCTTAAGCTAAGCAATTGCTATTAGAACCCTTGCAGATTCTCATAAAATCTCTCCACAGATTAGCCTTTTTCATATCAACAAATAATGATAGATTGTAGCTGAAGGGAACAGAGGGAATTAAAAAATAATCAAATTAGAAAGAAATATAGCAAGTAAAGAATTGGAAATAAGAGAAAGGGTAAGACATACCCACCAGTTTGGCTTGTATGATCTTGTTGCCAGGCCTGGCCATTGGAGCACTACTTTGATCAAAATTGTACAAGGTTTTGAGAGAGAGAGAGAGAGAGAGAAATAGAAGTTGCAATACAAGTGACAAGAATTTTTTGTGTGGATTTTGCTAGAAAATGAAAGTGAATAGATGGAGAAACTAGAAAGTAGACTGGTTGTTGTATTGACTGGTAGTTTAGTTGCACTTTGCACTTCTCCATTCTCAAATATCAATGAAGGAGAACAAGCATCCCTTCTTGTTGACCGAAAAAAAAAAGGAAAAGAAAAAGAAAAAGAAAGGAAGCATTCCTTGTGGGTCTATATCTTCAAAAGGGCCCCTATTAGTTTATCCGAGTCCGTCGAATTCAGGAGTCTCTTGGCGTTGTTATACTCAAAATTGATATGCTGGGTTGTTCATGTTATATGAGTCCGTTTTATCGATCGAAACCATAGACTCTCACAAAACAAAATTAATGTTACATAAAACAGGTAGCAAAATTTCTACATTTTTAGACACGTAAATGATTGAAATAACTATATATGTTTACTATTGGATTCGAATAGTATTCGGATTATATCTTATAAATACATTTTCATAAGAATTCTATTTTGGTGAAATTATGTTTAGGATTTGTATGAGATTTAGGGATGTTTGATTATCATTTCGTTTTCAAGATTAATAAAAAACATGAGTAGGTGTTACCTTTTTATTGGATACATTTATTGATAGTTGACAGGTCCAGCAAGCAACGCCTCATCCGGCAAGTGTATCATCACTTAAATCATACTAGTAGAAAAAGGTTGGAGGAAAAATCTGTTCGAAATTCTATATGACTTACACAATGTCGTCTGCCAACTTTTTAACATTTGACACACGCAACGACTTTGCAGTCGATGGGAAAAAAATCTCAATAACAACATTATCAGTTTCACCACATCAAGAGACAACAAGCTTTGAATGCCAACCGGAAGAAGATGATGGAGTAGCACATGACTATTTTATGTTTTGAGCTTAACATTTGTATTTATATATTATTTACAAGAATGTTTTTGAGGCCCCTCCAAAGTTAGGGCTCTAGGCGGACGCCTACATGAACTACCATCAAGGCCAGCCCTACGTGCACCAGCCTTTTCATAATTTGTTTTCCACATGGTATCACAATTGATGCGCATTTGGTGATCATTGATCAAATGTCTGACCATGTGAGATCTTCTATTTTTTTTCCCTACGAAAAAACAAAATTGTTCAAAATAAAACATAAATTATACCAAAAATTAGCATAACCACCCCTAAAAGTAAAAAAAAAAAATCCCAACTAACCTAGTATAATAATCAACTTTTATTTTAATTATGCAATTAAACTTTGCAACAAAAAACAACCGTAAAGGTCATACAAATTGAGTATTACCTATCTGGGATCCTTCTCCCTCACATAATCGGTGCATTGTAGGATGCCTAGTCACTGGAGAAACAACAAGAGCAACAGCGAAATCAGATGAAATTCCCAAAAGTGGCATCTACAAAATTGTAATTTGACACACCCCGACCGAAATCAAGACGTGCTAACCGTCACGCGAGGGTGACTTAGCCATGTGCGAAGTGCGGAAATGATAATGATATACAGAAATGTGAATAACTAAGAACCAAGCTAACTAATTTACACTAAGCAAATATAAGTGCAAATCCCGATATTAAAGTGTGATTACACAATAATCAGAGCATAGGTAGCCAAAGTGCAGTCCAGCAGGACAGGTACTAATTATACAATACCAGAGGTGGTCCTATATTAGTGATAATCTGTCAGAACCACCGTTAATTCCTCGTAAGTCACCAACAAGCACTCTTACCTAAAACCTAGAGGGATTGAGGGGTTGAGAGAGTATCACAACCTATACTTGGACCTCGATTCAAAAGATAAACTATAAGGGCATCACGGTTCATTTTTTGGACACTAATTGGGCATTGCATAAGAGGATCCAAAACTTTGTCCAAGTTACTTCTCACAAGGGCGATGACATTGGAAGTTGTCTAGAGGTTTGCTTGAATTATTGGGGCATAGACAAGGTGTTTAGCATTACCGTTGACAATGCTAGTGCAAATGACACTGATGTTGCATACATGAAAAGAAGACTCAAGTCAAATGGTACTTTTTTACTCGACGAGGCTCACTTGCACATGAGGTGCGCTTGTCACATCCTCAATTTGATAGTTAAGGATGGAATGGTGAAGCTTAGTTGTGAGATTGATGCCATAAGAAATTGTGTGAAGTTTGTACACTCATCCTCGGCAAGGTTAAAGTCATTTAGGGAATATTGTGTCGATAGTTAAGGATGGAATGGTGAAGCTTAGTTGTGAGATTGATGCCATAAGAAATTGTGTGAAGTTTGTACACTCATCCTCGGCAAGGTTAAAGTCATTTAGGGAATATTGTGTCTTGTTGAGACTTGATAGAATGTCAAGTATCCCTTTTGATGTTGTCACAATATGGAATGCCACCTATGAAATGCTTAATAGTACTTACAAGTTTAAAGAAGTGTTCTCTAAGATGGCCTTTGAGTGTGACTCTTCTATTGCTTACTTTAAAGATGAGGTCTCAAAAGAGGTTGATGGGGTGACAACGAAGGCCAAGCGGGTGGGTCCTCCGGAGGTGGATGATTGGGAGAGGTTGGTGAGTTTTGCTTACTTTCTCAAAAAGTTTTATGATTCCACCTTGACATTGAGTGCAACCCTTACTCCAACGTCACACTTAATACTTAGCACGGTGATTGCTTTGCAAATGAAGATAGAAGAACAAATTTAAAACACCTCTAATGCCACTTTGCAAACTGTGGCGACCTTAATGAAGCTCAAGTTTGACAAATGTTGGTGTGATATTGAAAAGATGAACCCTATTCTCTTTGTAGCCCAAGCACTCTACCCGAGTTACAAATTTGAAATGTTGGAGACAAATCTAGAAAAGCTCAGCTATGGATGGGACAAAATAAGGGAGGAGAAAGCAAGGGTTAAAAGCTATGTAACCAAGTTGTATAATGCATATAAGGAGGGAGTGGTTCTTAGTACTAATAGTAGTGCTACTTCAAAAGTGGAGCAAAGATCAAGTGTTGTACTAGATGATGCGGGGGGGGGGGGGGGGTAGATATTGATGTTGCTAAAAGGATGATGGGGGGAGGATGTATTGGCCCTTCCTATTAGCATCGTTGCTAGTGAGAATGCTTTTAGTCTTGGTGGGCGAGTTGTTGATCCTTTTAGAGCTTCCTTAACACCTAAAACAGTTGAGGCTTTAGTGTGTACTAGTGATTGGCTTAGAGGAAATGAATTTTGTTTCTACAAGGAGCTTACACTCGACGAATTCAATTTCTACAAGGAACTTAAATGTTTAGAAAAAAAGTAAGTAAATAATTTAATTTCCTCTTTTATTTTCTTAGTATTTGTTATCTATTTCTATAATTCAATCTAAATGATTTGTTGTTTCTTATCTTTGGCATGGCTAATTTGGGAGGTGAGGAGAGTACAACACAAGGAAATGAAATGCCACCTCCACCTCCTTGACCACCTCAAGTTGAAGTTCAACAACGTCAAAATCAATCACTACCTCCACGAGCACCCATTTTAAGGGGAAGGGCTCAACCATCAACATCAAGGGAAGAGTACCAACAAGTAGGGACCAACCACAACCATCAACAAGATCAAGGGGCCAAATAGGCCCACAATCTTCATAAACTTTAAGCTTTTCTTTTTGTTTTTGGTTTGTAACTTAATTTATTTTGAAACTTTGGCTTGTAACTAATTTTTTTGCTTTTGAGTTTGTTACTTAATTTATTTTTGTTGCATGCATGTGTAGTAGAATATATTTTCTACTATTTAAAGAACAATTCATAATTTCATATTTCAATTAGGGCTATAAATCTATGATTGCACAGATTGGTATGTATGAAGTTAAAGGCTTAAAATAGATTGCATTTGTGGCTCAAAATAGATTGCACAAACGCACATATGACATATTTATATGTATGACAAATTGGTATTAACGAAATTGGGCTAACAATTTCAATATAAAAGGCTAAATTTTAGCCCAAAATCAAAATTTAATCCCGATTTGTCCCGAAATCTCGAAACTATTTCGGGATTCCTGAAAATTTGGTTTGGGATCGGTCTTGAAATTGGGATTCCAGAACCAGCCCTAAAAATAAGCTCTCCATATGTATTTAACCGTGTTCTTTGTAGCTAGAACATTTCCATTCTCTCCTTAATGCGCCTTTACTTGGTTCAGTCTCTGTTCTTTATTTCCCTTGCTCTAGCCAGTTTATAGATATTCAACTCTCCTTCCTTGATATCCAACAAATTGACGATTCATCAAAATGATGAAATTTTTGTCGACTTATTCAATGCATATGAATTGTTAAATGACCTCCATATTGAAGAAATATTTTATATAGATGATCTTGACATTAGTGTGTTGAAATGATGATACATTGTATTTAAGGCTTAAAGCCGATTTGGTAGCAGCTTTGTTTTTAATTTTAATTCACTTTTAAATGAACAATAAAGAGAAAATACAATAGAGAAAAGTGGGCCAAGCAAAGGTTGGGGAAGAGTGATGGAAAGGAAGTGGGAAGGGTACACAAATGAAAACTAGAAGCTAGAACCTAAAAACAATTTTTTGTAGGTTTTCATTTCTAGTTTTTGTTTCGTACATTCTCCTTTATTTCTCAGTTCATCCTCCCTTATTTCCACATTCTTCAACAAAAATTCACTATATCCCGAAACTAAAACTAAATTGTTATCAAATGTAAGTGTTTAATGAACATGCAAATGGAATGAATGTTGAATTATCTCAATTTTTATGTCAAGTTGATGCTACCTCTGATGTCTTCCTAGAGACAAGTATTCCAAAGCATGGTTACTTGTTAACTTCAATTGTTTTGTATCCTATTTGTATTTCTCACATTGTTTTAGTTACCATATCTCTTCAATGGATGATGCCGGTATTTCCTTTTCGGTCAAGTGAAAGAGTTGAACAGTAGTTTGTAACTATGTCATGGTTCTTGATGTATGGAATAAAATTATCCTTCAACATTGATCTTTAAACTTTGGCCCAATTGGATCTTTAGTAGCTAAATTAAT